AAACAAATAAGAGATGCAGTGTTTATGGAATAGTTGAATATGGGCTCATTAGCTGGCCACTATTGAGCTCATAGTGATAAAATGGGTGGAGTGACATTGCTTAAGGGAAGTCACAGATTAAATTTTGGAATAAATTGGGATGATTCATGATTTGGGACAAATTATGGTAATAACAGTGATTTAGTGATTGGAGAAAACCTGGACATGATACTTGTCTTTTATGCTGAATACTTTATCACTCTTATGATCTACAGTTGGGTGCAAATGTGAAGTTTGATTTAACAGATTTGTCTTCCAGGATACAGGCTCCAGGTGGAGCTGGGACTTAAACAAGCTTAACATGTAACTGCTGACTAATGTTTTACACAGGGTTACAGGTTGGAGTATGGCTGCTCCAAGTGGGAAACCCTGGAGATTGTATTAGAGTGAATGTGCAACATTCTTGTGCATGTCTCATTGGGGAGATGACACATGGTGAAAGCCATGTGGCAAGAGGAGTGTTATTTTTTAATCTGTAGATGTCGTGAGGTGCCATGACGAGAAGGAGTGGCTGAGAGGATCGTCCACAAGATGGAACCTGGGGCCGGGATAGAGGCTTCAGGAGGATCAGAGATCATCTTCAGCACAGCAGACATCACACAGAGAACTGTGTTACTGAGCTTCCAGGAGATCAAGAGGAGACTTCCCACAGCAAGATTTTAAATAAAATGAGAGATTCAATGTTGACGCTGAGGAAGACAACTAAGGTGTACGACGTGCTCTGCCTTAAATCTTCAGCAGCATTGGACGTGAGAACTTGAGGGATGGAGAGAGCGTGCCAAGTTTAGGAGATTTATTCAGCTGTGGTCTGTAGTAACGATACATAAAGCAACTATCAGTACAGCGCACATAAAACATTCAACATGCTCAGACATTATTCTAGCACAGAGATAGCACAAGGAACGGTATTCAACACTCACATCTATAACAACTTCAACAATTACACAAGATTTATAATTAGCATTAACTAGCTTAGTAGCTTACATAGCGTCTTAGCATAGGATAACATTAGCATAGTCACAAGGTAACAAATACACACAATAGCAGCTGACGTCCTCAACATCATGTAAACAGAACTCACCTTCTGGCATTCACACACAGCAATAAACCAAAACCCACGAGATGCTGATGAGAGGATACAAGGAACAATGCTGAACAATGGCTATCAGCAGCTACAAAGGCAGACTAGCAGCACACGGCACAGAGTGGTGCATTCAAGGAGCGTCAGCATAGATATGGTGAGTTCAATGACGTAGGACATATCAATTTCCACAGCGCAAACATTATCTATAAACAAACCACAACACTTCAACCAAGCAAATAACGTGTAAACAGTGGGCTTTCTAACACATTATATAGTGGAGTTAAATTATTATTAATATTAATATAAAATTAATATAAGATTTTATTTGACATCTTTTTGTATTTCATTAACAGGCAAGGCAGTTCTTGTGTTTGCAGGTACGCCATCACATTAACCACTACATCATTTTCATATGAAAATTTTTAATATACGTTTTGTTTTGGGGTTGGTTTTTTTTATATCTAGGAGCTGGTGGAACTGTGATTCTGACTCCTGCCATTTTGGCTCTACTTGGGTTCACTTCAACTAGAATAGCAGCAGGCTCCATTGCTGCCAAACTGATGTCCCTTGTTGCAATCGCTAGTGGAGGTGGAGTTACAGCAGGAGGTTTTGTGTGGAGTTTTCAGACCACTGCAATGACAATAACAATGAAATATGATATAGTGAAACCTCATCCACTTTACATCTACTTTACATTTGGGTGTGATACTCTGAGATACTCCTGTTCTGCAGTCAGCAAACAGAAGTAATATAAGTTCATTTCTAGCTGTGATCCTATTTTGAGAAACATGATGAGTGAGGGCAAAACTTCTACAGTAAGTCAATTTTTAATGTATTAATGTGTGCCCGTGTGTGGCAACTGTGTAGTAGTTTTAACAACTTAGAGAAGGGTATATGTTCTGCTGCTGCATGATGGTGTGTGTTTTCGCTTTATCATTTATTTAAACTGCAGAAAGCTGTGCGCTATTAACAAGAAAATACATCTTTAATAGCAGTTTTCAGGATTATTTCTGTAACACTGTCATCTTTTGAAATAGGGTGTAAAATTTTGTTAAGCATTCAAGAATAATAAAAAAGATACATAGCTATGAAGAGAGTCAGAATGGTTGTTACAGTTACAAACCAATGCAGTATACCCCTGTAAATGTATTTTCTTTTCACAAATTAGGCAAATTTCTTTATTGTATTATACGTATAGGTGTTAAGTCACACAGCATTAATTTGAATATTAAATCATGACAAAATAAAATTGAGTGTTCCAAAAAAGAGTGGATTTGGGTAAATTGGCTGCAGAGGAGGTAAACGTCTCTTGCTGGCACACAAAAAGAAGGTAAAAAAAATAGAAATATCATATTTTTTATAAGTTTAAAAATATATATTTTTGGGGATATAAAAATTGAAAGAGCAATAAACTGTTGTTAGAGAAAATACAAATGTGTTACATCACTTTAAAAAAATGTTTTAATTCCTCTATCAACTATAAAACAATTTATATTAACTTATTGCATCCAAAAACTTCTTGAACTTCATCACCAAAACCAATTTCAGTGTATTTAAAATGATGATATTTTCTCAAAAATAATACAGTATTAGTCAAACCCAGTTTTCCATTTCTAACTTTGGGAAGAAAATTGCTACATAAATAAAGTTTATTATTATTATTTAACTTGAAAGATTTTTTTTTTGTTCATGATTTTTAAAAAACAAACAAACTGATAAATGTCTTTTAAACAAATTTCGAAATGTAATTATTTATTATGTTGCACTAAAAGCTTCAGTTGATAAGAAATAGTTCTTGTAGTTGTTCAAAGATAATGGAATTGTCAAACCACTACAATGACGACAGTATTAAAATAAGATGTCATGAAGATTCACCCATGCTGCACATATGGGCTTCATACTTTACATTCAGGAATGTGATGATTAAAGGAGTAGGACTTTGCCTTTCTCCTTTCAAAACAAGTTGTGTGAATTTATTTTCTCATGGTAGCAAAGCTTGAATAACCCATTTTTCCTCATTTTTATATGTTTCTGTTTGTTTGAGAGACAATTCCTTCTGGCACTAATATGAATCGGGTAGTGCAAGTTTAAAACATAAAAGTAGTGTTGGAACACATTGTGGCACAATACCTTTGTGAGCATGATTTAAACAGTCCCACATAGCAAGAAGGTCTGGCCCAGATCTGGTATCAAGCTGGCACTGCTGGTTGACTTCTGGCATGATAAGACGTATGTCATCCAGATATGGGCCAGGCCTGGCATAGATGGCACTGTCTATTTGATGGCATGCCATATCTGGCTCGATTGTTGTTGGGTTTATATGGCACAGGCCCATAGAAAACAGGTCTGTCCCACTATAGTTTAAAAGTGATCGTAGTAAGCAAGTCTCAGTTTCAACCGTATAGAAAAGAATTCAAATTTCAGCTCCGATGGGTCAAGTTGCAGCAAAAAAGTAATTGCAGCTTTCTGCACCATCTTTTAAATGTCTTTATACTCTGTGGTGGGGCGTGGTCTGCCGTGTTGCTGCAGGGAAGGCGGACACACCTGAGTGGCATCCGCAATCACGCCTCAGCGACTTAAAAGCTGAACGAAGTCTTGCAATGTTTTTGTTGGTGGTAATGTGTGTTTGTGAAGAGCAAACAAGTGTTAATAAAGAGATACTGGAAAGCATGTCATGAAAGTCTGTAGTGTGATGTTTACATACTCATCACCACAATATATGTATGTGTTAAATCATATCCTTCCTTGTGACTAAAACACAATTCTGAAGGATGATTTTCACTAACTCAGATTGATTCCTTTTAGGAAATATTTTGGGAAACAGAAACAAAGTGGGAGAGTATAAAGAGTTATCACACCAGACACAAGAGCAGAAGACAAAATTAAATGACACTACGGGCAACTCACTGCTCGATGAATACAAGGACAATTCAGTCATTTTCATAAAGGTCTTATAGGCAGAGAGAGATTAAAGGTTGAAAACTGATTCATGACATGTCCCCTCACAATACAGATAAAACATTAAAACCAACAAGCAAGAAGTGCAAAATAAATAGTGAGATAACATTCTGTATGAGTGCAGTGGTCAAATAAGAAAAATTGTTGACAATTTATAAACTATGCAAAAGAATATCTTTATTAAATTGTGGGAATGTTAAAAGGCTAAGAATATTTTTTTTCTACTTCAGCCTGAACCAGAGATCCCCGTCACCATTGCCATGTCTTCAGGACTCCTCTTCAAGCAGGAACAGCAGAGCTATGGCCCTGCCTTCAATTTTGTCAAGGTCATATATTATGAGGGGAAAGAACACACACACACACACACACACACACACACACACACACACACACAATTGCATGTTGTGATTAGATGCTAATGACTGTGGACGATGAGAATATACCACATAAGAAAAAGCACCACAGAAACCTGCACATAAATACTGCAAATGCACAGTTACTCAACATTCACTCAGTTTTAATTTCTCTGGTTCTGTTTTGCTCTCAGGCTCTGAAGGCAGTCAATGCTGAACTCAGAAACCATTACCCTGAGAGTGAGGAGCTCTTTAAAGTCATACTCATCGATGACAGCTCATCATCAGACTTTCTCATGGATCAGATCCGTGAACATGGTGAGTTTATGATACCTCCAAACACACTTACTATTAATTCAAATACATGTGTCTTAAGAGGAAACTTCTAAATTTTGAGAAAATGGATAAATGGAAACAATTAGACTGAGACCGAGATAGTCTTTCCACTTCTAAGTGATTCAGATTAACTCTTGTTTACCCCAATACCCTTTCTAAATCATTCAGGCTTCATTTGTACAGCACCTTTCATGCACTTCAAAGTTTTACATAGATTAATGACAGGCTTACAATAAGACAACAAAAAAACTAAAAAACAAAATCTAATAAAGTAGAATACAAATGAAAGTGTAAGTACTCTAAAAGCAAGTTAATAAAAAAAATAATAGATATAAGTAAGTAATAGTAACACTATTGCACTAATCCTGATAAATCTAAATAGTTTTGGTAAAACAGATGGTCCAGCAGCCTTTTCATTCATTCTTGTTTGCAGGGCTGTAAGAACTTATCACTCTGTTACCTGTGACTGAAGATCAGCTTGTGAATGAGTTAAGAAACAAAACCCACCTGTACCTGTCTGATGAACCAAACAGGTTGAAGGTTCAGGAAGCTTTGAATGGAGGTAAAAGTGTTAAATGTTGTGCTAACTTTAAGATGAAGTGCAGTCTGTGCTGTTGTACTTTAATGACTCTGTGTGTTACTGTGAATGAATGTCCCTGCATCAGGTGTAGCAGCTGCTATCATGTCCACCCCAACAAACATCATCACAGAGTCTGAGAATCAGCTGCGTGTTGCCTTTGATGGTGACGCTGTCCTCTTCTCTAATGAGTCAGAGCTCGTGTTCAAGAGTGGTGGACTACAAGAATACTTGAAGAATGAGGAGCAAAATGTTGAAAATACAATGAATGGGGTATGATAGTAACACATTTTACCTTCTTGTCATATTTTATAACACCTCATTTAATTATATGATAGTTATGTTGTCCTTCTGTGATGTCAGAAACAATATATATTTAATCAACCAAAAGAAAATGTCTGTTATATTACATTCAAATAGACTGATATCAGCTAAATTATCCAAATGCACTTTCCTGCTTTGACCAGATTGTCATGTGTTGAGTCTCTGCTCTTCTTCTCTTTTCTTTATTCAGGGACCATTCAAAGGATTCTTGGAGGTTTTAATAAAACTGCAGAAAAAGTTGCATAATAGAGGCCTGTACAAGAAGTGTCCCATTCGTACCTACCTGGTGACATCTCGAGGGGCAGGCTGTGACGGCTACAGAGCTTTAAACACTCTGCAGACCTGGGGTCTGGAGCTTGATGAAGCTGTGTTTGTGGGAGGGGCTGACAAAGGTCCTACACTGCAGAGGATCAAGCCTCACCTCTTCTTTGATGACCAGCAGTGTCACGTTGGTGCTGCATTGGAGGTCGGCACAGTGGCATGTCTGGTGCTCTCACCAAACTAACAATAAATAGCAATCTGTTGATTGGATTTTATAACTGCTGGAAATATATGAACTTGAAAAGTATGTTTCCATAATGCTTCATAAATGCAAATAAATTAACAAACAAACATCTTTATCTCATCTGTGGTATGTTGTGTTTTTTTCTGCAGTATCGCTGTTTTTGTACATTTTTAATTCTATCAAATGCTTCTTAGTAAATCAGCTGTTTGTGAAAATCAGCTGATGGTTTTCATTTCACTGTTGACTGAAAAGCAACAACTGAATCAGCAGATCAGACAGGCATGGCAGAAGTGATGAAAGCATTTTTTGTGACATTATGTTCATAAAAAATATTGTGTTATTATATTATGTAAAAAACTAAAAGTCTGAACTATGTGATAGAGCTGCAATAGCAGACTTGGATTTCCTCACACAGAAACAATCTTTCAGGATGTAGATTTAAAGTATTATTATTAAAATATGTTCTTTTAATCAAAAGAGAGATGAGTAAGTAAGGTTTATTTATTAAGCACTTTTCATAGACAAGCAGTCACAAAGCACTGTGCAGAAAGGGCTTAAATAAACAGCCTGTCTATTACAGTGGCTGTGATCAGAGTTAAGTTACATCAGGTATAGTAGAGATGAATTCCACCTTCACACCAACTTTATAGTGTCTAGTATAAAGACATAAACAGGCATAAACAAATAAAAAGGCATTAACAGTATAGAGGATGGAAATTAGCAACAACAACTCATGAAAAGTACAGAATGTCTGTACCTTTGCAACCTTTCAAGATTTCTTGCTTCGATGA